GGGTGGGACCCACGGAACCCCCACGGGTGGAACCCCATGGGGTGGGACCCACGGGTGGGACCCACAGAACCCCATGGGGTGGGACCCACGGAACCCTCGCGGGGTGTGACCCACAGAGCCACCCCAACGAGACCCCCACTCCAGTGCCAGGAACGCCCGTGACTCGGGGATCCTCTGAGCCCCCTGACCCAAATCTTGGCACCCCTGAGACCCCCCAGAGCCGGACTGTGACATCCCGGTGCTGAGACCCCTGGACTCCTGAGCCCCCAGACCCAAATCCCGAGAGCCCAACACGAGATCCTCCATTCCCCAAGCCCCCCGCGCACCCCGTCCCCTCCTCTGGGGTCCCGGGGGATTTTGGGGGGGGATTTTGGGGCGGGGGTCCCTGGGGATTTTGGGGCGGGTTCCCTGGGGATTTTGGAGGGGGATTTTGGGGCGGGGGTCCCTGGGGACTTTGGGGCGGGCCGCCCCCACTTCCCTCCCCCCGGGGCACTGGGGCGAATCTCCTGCCGGGCCTGGGCGCACGCAGCTGATGGCGGCTGCTCCCCAAATCCGGGGGGCTCCCCCAAAACGGGGGGTCCCGAGCCCTCTCCTCACCCTCAGCCTCCTCCTCCTCCTCCCAGGTATCGCTGGGGGGGATGGGGGGGCTGGGGGCTTCGGGGGTCTCGGGTTTGAGTTTGGATCTGGGGGGGGGTTTGAGGGGTTCTGGGGTGTCGGGGTTTGGGGCTGAGGCTCTTGGGGGTCCCAGGGTTTGGGTCTGGGGGTTTCAGGAGTTCCAGGGTCTCATTTCTGGGGTCTTGGGGGTCTTGAGGATCTCATCTCTGTTTTTTGGGGTGTTTCAGGACTTCCGGGGTCTCAGGGTTTGGGTCTGGGGATTTTGGGTGGTCCCACCTGTGCCCACCCCCCTTAAGGGCGGGTCCCCTGTTACCCACGGCCATGGGTCCCTCCTGAACCCCTTAGGGGGTCTCAGGGGGACCCCAAAACCAAAAACAACCTCCGGGTGCTTCCCCCCAGCCACCTGGGCCGGTGTCACCCCTGGGACCCCCCCCAAGCTTCCGTCCCCAGCCAGGGCTGAAACTGGGGGGGCAGAACTGAAACTGGGGGGGCAGAACTGAAATTTGGGGGGGGGCAGAGCTGGAACTGGGGGGGCAGAGCTGAAATTGAGAGGACAGAGCTGAAATTGGGGGGGCAGAGCTGGAACTGGGGGGGCAGAGCTGAAATTGAGAGGACAGAGCTGGAACTGGGGGGGCAGAGCTGAAATTGAGAGGACAGAGCTGAAATTGAGAGGACAGAGCTGAAATTGGGGGGGAAGAGCTGGAACTGGGGGGGCAGAGCAGGAATTGGGGGGCAGCAGGGCTGGGGTTCCCCCCGGTGCCACCTGCAGGGTCCCCGTGTAAGACCCCCACCCACGGGGGGTGCAGGGATCCCCCAAAACGGGGTCAGCGCCCCTCCGTGACCCCCCCAATTTGTCCCCCCAGGTTCCAAGTGCCACAACAGCTCCTTCCCCGCTTCTCCCGCCCCACGCCCGGAGACCCCCACCCACGGGGGTCCACACTGACCTCCCCAAACGGGGTCAGCGCCCCTCAGCGACCCCCCCCACCAATTTGTCCCCCCAGGTTCCAAGTGCCACAACCTCTCCTTCTTCGCCTCTCCCACCTCACGCCCGGAGACCCCCGCGCTGACGGTGCCCACCCGGCCCGGGGGCTTCTCCTGCGGCTCCGGGGGAGGGGTCCACGTCCAGCCCGTGCCCACCTCCGTGACCGCCGAGCTCGGGGAGTCCCTGAGCCTGGAGTGCCGCTTCGAGCCGCCGGACGCCGACGTCACCTGGCTGCAGGTGTGTCCCGGCGGCCGCACCTTTGGGTGCCCCTGGCCCCAGGAGCTGCCGGCCCAGGGCGGGGGGCGCTGGGTGGGCCAGGGGGACTCGGGGGTCTCCAGGCTGAGCTTCGCGCACCTGGAGCACAACCACAGCGGGCTCTACTTCTGCCGGGTGAGCTTCAGGAATGCATCCGCGCAGTCCTGCGGCACCTTCGTCAGGGTCCTCGGTGAGTGGGGGGCTCCCGGGGGGGTTTGGGGTGGGGGTCTCCCGGGGGGCTCTTGGGGCAAGAGTTCCTGGGGATTTTGGGGGGATTTTGGGGAGGTTTTGGGGCGGAGGTCCCTGGGGATTTTGGGATGGGTTTTGGGGCGGAGGTCCCTGGGGATTTTGGGATGGATTTTGGGGTGGAGGTCCCTTGGGGATTTTGGGGCGGGGGTCTCCCGGAGGGGGTTTTGGGGAGGTTTTCGGGGCGGCTGAGCCGGGCTGCTCCGGCAGAGCCCGTGCCCGTGCCGTTCCTGGACCTGGCAGACGCCACCAAGAACAGGATCATGACGGCACAGGGAGTGCTGCTGCTGCTGTGTGCTGCGGGGCCGGGGCTGCTGCTGCTCTTCAGGGTGAGGAGGGGGCTCCGGGGGGACCCCCGCCCCTAATTCGGGGTTCTGGTGTCCCCAATCCCGGCCCTGGTGTCCCCAATCCCGGCCCTGGTGTCCCCAATCCCAGTCCTGGTATCCCTGGTCCCGATCCTGCTGTCCCTGATGTTTCAGTCCTGACAACCCCAATTCCTCCTGGTTCCCCAAAATCCCCTTCCAGATGCCCCTAAATACCCCCTGCCACCCTTAATTCCCCCCCTAAGACCCCCAGTTTCCCATTCAATTCCTCCCCAATCCCCCCTGTACCCCTTTTTTGCCCCCATCACCCCAAATCCCCCCCTCAAACCCCTCTGTACCCCTTTTTTCCCCCTCCCAGAAGCGCTGGGCCAATGAGCGGCTCCTCCAGCCCAAGAAAATCTCCCTGGAGGAGGAAAATCTTTATGAGGTGACCTGGGGGGGTGGGCAGTGACACCCTGAACCCCCCAAAAAAGGGTCTGGGGTGTGTTTGGGGGGGGTCCTTCACCCCAAACCAAACCCCTGACCCCAATTTCCCTCCCCAGGGGCTGAACCTGGATGAGTGCTCCATGTACGAGGACATTTCCCGGGGGGTTCAGCCCACCTACCAGGATGTGGGTACCCCCCCTGCCGACGGGCTCCTGGAGAAGCCTTAAAAGCCCCCCAAAAATGAGGGGGGGTCCCAAAGACCCCTCCCCAAACCCCTGCGTGCCCCCCGACCCCACGAAGGCTTTGCTTTGGTATCTCAAGGCGGCGCTGATGCCAAGCCCCTCCCCAAAATAAAACTGGAGCTGATGAATCGCTAATAAACAATTAATTAATCTTTAATAAGTTGTGAATAAATAATGAGGGTGAGACCACTGGTTTCCCCCCATTGTCCCTAATTTCCTCAAAATTCCCCATTTTACCCCATTATCATGTTTCCCCCTATTTTACCCCATTATCCAAAGTTTCCCACATTTTATCCGGTTTTTCGCCCATTTCTCCCAATTTTTCCTATTATTCCCAAATCCCCCATTCTATCCCATTTGCTCCCTTCTCCAAGTTTCTTGTTTTAAATAGAATGTATGCATAACCATGAAAGATATATGAATATACAACAAGTGTATTAGTTTAAGGGTAATTCCTTTGTTCACACGGTGTGCTTTTCGTGACTTTGATCATCCGGACATCCGTAATTCTTTGCTTTTTATTGCCTTGTAGTTGCCCTAATTCTAAACTTTATTACTCTAATTGTGTTACTATTTCTATAACCATTTTATTATTATTAAACTTTTAAAATTTAAAAAGCCACGTGATTGGCGTTTTTCATACCTCCCCATTCTCCCATTTATCCCCAATTTCCATTATTTCCCATTCTCTCTGTTCTAATTCTAATTCTAAACTTTATTACTCTAATTGTGTTACTATTTCTATAACCATTTTATTATTATTAAACTTTTAAAATTTAAAAAGCCACGTGATTGGCGTTTTTCATACCCCCCCATTCTCCCATTTTTCCCCAATTTCCATTACTTCCCATTCTCTCTGTTCTCCTCCCATTTTCCCCCACAATTCCCTCTCAGTTACCCCAAATTTCCCTCACTGCGCCCCATTTCTCCCCTTTTGCCCCTGATTTTTAATTTTTTTCCCTTTTTTCCCTCATTTTTCCCAACTCCCCTCAGACTTGCCCCCCCCCCGTTCTCACGGAGACCCCTCCCTCGCAGCGCCTTTCCCGCCTCTGCGCCCTCAGCCAATCAGCGGCCGAGCCCTGGGGCCCGCGGACCAATCGCAGCGAAGCGCGGGAAAATTCAAGCTCCTAACGGCCGCCGGCGCTGGCCCCGCCCACCGTGAGGCGGGGGGGGGGGCAGGTGGGGTGGGGGAATTGGGGGAAAAATGGGGAAATTTGGGAATGCTGAAGGGAAATACGGGTCCTGGAGAGGAATGGAGGGGCTCTGGGGGCAGATCTGAGGGGGAATGGGGGTTGGAGTGGGGCCTGAGAGCTCTTCGGGGGTATTGGGGTTGTCTGAGGGGGAACTGAGGGGTTTTGAGGGGAACTCTGGGTCCTAAGGGTAACGGGAGACCCTGAGGGGGAAATGGGGGCTGGAATGGGGTCTGAGGACCTTTCAGGGGGTACTGGGGATTTTGGGGGGTATCTGAGGGGGAAATGAGGGGTTTTGAGGTGGAAATGAGGGGTTTTGAGGGGAACTCTGGGTCCTAAGGGTAACAGGAGACCCTGAGGGGGAAATGGGGGCTGGAATGGGGTCTGAGGACCTTTCAGGGGGTATTGGGGATTTTGGGGGGTATCTGAGGGGGAAATGAGGGGTTTTGAGGTGGAAATGAGGGGTTTTGAGGGGAACTCTGCGTCCTAAGGGTAACGGGAGACCCTGAGGGGAAAATGGGGGCTGGAATGGGGTCTGAGGACCTTTCAGGGGGTACTGGGGATTTTGGGGGGTATCTGAGGGGGAAATGATGGGTTTTGAGGTGGAAATGGGGGGAATCTGGGGAATAATTGTGAGGTCCTGGGTTGTGGGGTGAACTGGTGTCCTGTGAGTGCCAAGGGGCTCCATGGCGGGGAACGGGGATCCTTGGAGGCGGTGGGTGGCACCTGAAGGGTGAAAACTCCTCAAACACCTCCTTTTTCCCATCTTTTCCCCAGCCGCCGCCATGAGCCGCCCGCTCGCCGCCCCGGCCAAAATCCCCCTCAAATCCAAGCGCCTGCGGACCAAGCGGGAGCGCAACGCCACCAAGTTTGGCCCCAGGCTGCCCGTGGGGGGTTCCCAGCGGGCCCCCCCCTGGCTGCTGCCCCGCCCGGGCAGGGGTCTCGCCCTGGGGAGCCCCCTGCGCCCCCCAAAGCCCGTGGTGATCACCCAGAACCGCCTGTCCCACCGCGGCATGTTTAACCACATGGTCAAGTCGCTGGACGTGCGGCGCCTGCTGAGCCCCAGCGGGGGCAGCCCCCCGCCAGCCCCCCAAATTGAGGAGGGGGTCCCGGGCGAGCCGCTGAAGGAGCTGGCGGCCGGCCTGGGCTCGCTGCTGGTGGGCTTCGGGGCGTTCGTGGGGCGGGAGCTGGTGAGCGAGCGGCGCCGCGGGCTCGTGGCCGCGCTCAGGAGGCACCAGCGGGGACCCCTGGACCTGGGGGTCTTCCTGGCCCACCGGACCCCCGCCCAGCTCCCAGGTACCGGGTCTTTACCACAAAGGGGTTTTTTTTACCTTTGTATTTCCCTCCCCAAATAAAGCGTTGTCTCCAGCAGGTCAGGGCGCACCGCAGGGAGAGGCGAGGCCAGGACCCCCAGGCCCAGCGCTCATTTTGGGGGGGTGGGATGCGGGGGACCCCCCTGCTGGGACCCCCAGCCCACTCGGTGTTGTGGATACAGTGAGTGCTCCAAAAAGCGCCCCCCAAACGCTCACAAATTGCTCCAGATTTACCCCTAAAACTGCTCCCCACCTCTCCCTGCAGCTCCCCCGCGCCCCCAGCCCCATTTTCGGAGCCCTCGGAGAGTGGAAGGTGAGTGTGTGGTTTGGGGGGTCCGGGGGAGCCCCCACTGCTTTCGGGGGCGTTTTGCTGATGCCCCCCTCTCTCCCCAGAACCCTTTCTCTTGGAGCTCAGCCGAGGATGAGACCCCCAGGGGGCTCCCCCAGACCTGGGGGGGCCCCGGGGGGCTCCCGCCGCCACCCTCCCCCTTTTGGGGGTCCCCACAGCTGCCCCATGGAGAGGAGGAGGAGAAGATGGGGGGGGATGCAGGCTGGACCCCCACGGCCCCCCCAGCCTTCAGCCCGGACCCTCCACCCGGGAGAGCCCCCCGCGCCCCCAGACCCCCTCGGGCCCCCAAAATCTGGAGAACCGAGACCCCCTGGGACCCCCCGGGTCCCTCCCGCGCCCCCTGGGAGCCCCCAAGACTGCCCTGGGGTTCCCCGGACCCACCCCGAGCCCCTCCCAGACCCTCCCGGGCCCCCCAGCTCTGGAGCCGCGAGCCCCGCAAGGCACCCCCCGTCCCCCCCCGACCCCCGTGGGACCCCCCGAACCGCCCCAGATCCCCGTGGGACGCCCCGAGATTCCCGTGGGACTCCCCGAACCCCCCCAGACCCCCGTGGGACCCCAGCCCCTGGAGCCCGGAGCTGCCCAGGCCCCCCCGGACCCCCCAGCTCTGGGACCCGGAGCCCCCGAGACCCCCCTGGGACCCCTCGAGACCCCGCCAGGACCCCGCGGGTGTCCCGGGACCCCTCTGGGATTCCCCAGATCCCACCTGGCCCCCCCTAGACCCAGCCGGGTCCCCCCGGACCCCCCAGCTCTGGAGCCCGGAGCCCCCCTGGGACCCCCGGCCCTGGAGCCCGGAGCCCCCCGGAGCCCCCCAGGATGCGGAGCCGCCGCGATGCTGCTGCTGCCGGCTCTGTCGCGACACAGCCCAGCGCCGCGGGCTCCATCGCGACCCGCTCCATCGCGACCCGCTCCATCGGGACCCGGCCCGTCGCGACCCTGCCCGTCGCGACCCACTCCATCGCGACCCTGCCCGTCGCGACCCGCTCCATCGCGACCCGCTCCATCGGGACCCGCTCCATCGCGACCCGCTCCATCGGGACCCGCTCCATCGCGACCCGCTCCATCGCGACCCGCTCCATCGCGACCCTGCCCGTCGCGACCCGCTCCATCGCGACCCACTCCATCGCGACCCGCTCCATCGCGACCCGCTCCATCGCGACCCACTCCATCGCGACCCGCTCCATCGCGACACGCTCCATCGCGACCCGCTCCATCGCGACACGCTCCATCGCGACCCGCTCCATCGCGACACGCTCCATCGCGACCCGCTCCATCAGGACACGCTCCATCGCGACCCGCTTCATCAGGACCCGCTCCATCGCGACCCGCTCCATCGCGACCCGCTCCATCGCGACCCACTCCATCAGGACACGCTCCATCGCGACCCGCTCCATCAGGACACGCTCCATCGCGACACGCTCCATCGCGACCCGCTCCATCGGGACCCGCTCCATCGGGACACGCTCCATCAGGACCCGCTCCATCGCGACCCGCTCCATCGGGACCCGCTCCATCGCGACCCGCTCCATCAGGACCCGCTCCATCGCGACCCGCTCCATCGCGACACGCTCCATCAGGACCCGCTCCATCGCGACCCGCTCCATCGGGACCCGCTCCATCGCGACACGCTCCATCAGGACCCGCTCCATCGCGACCCGCTCCATCGCGACCCGCTCCATCGGGACCCGCTCCATCGGGACACGCTCCATCGCGACACGCTCCATCGCGACACGCTCCATCGCGACCCTCCCCGCCCCGCCGCTCTCCATCGCGACCTGCGCTGTCGCTGTCGCGACCCGCCCCGCTGCTGCCCGCAGCCCCCGAAGCGCCGCCGCCCCGGCTGGGGAGGGGTCGGGGGGCGACCCCCCTCGCCCCCCGCCCCGCCGGGCTGCGGGTGCCTCTGCTGGGGGGGGGGTCGGGATGAGGGGGGGCCGTGACGGGGCGACCACCCCCCAATAAATCCTGCTCAGTCACGGGGGGCCGTGACGGGGCGACCACCCCCCAATAAACCCTGCTCAGTC